TGCTGTGACCCAGCTCCTCCTTCCCTCCCCTAGTGGCCCAGGGGTGGGTGGGGCGGGGTGGGGGGAGGGAAGGCTTTAAAGGCACAGGAACTGCTCCAGGTGGGACACTTGCTGGCTCCTGGTCCCATCCCTGGGGCTGTGTGATCTGGGACGGCTGCAGGTCTGAGTCTGGCGGGGCCTCAAACCCTGAATAAGAGACCTGAGCTCTGAAGGCCTTGGTGGAGCTGAATGTGGCCAGGTTTCAGCGGGAGGCAGATTAGACCAAAGGTTCCCTAGGAGATGAGGCCACAGAGCTGGGGTGCAGCCAGATGCCCACACCAGGAGGGGCTGGAGATGTAAGCATCTGAGGCCCCACAAGGTCTGAGGAGCCTAGATCACCTCTACAAACCCAGGGCAGGGATGCCTCTCCTAACAGGCCCTCTCCCCAACTTGCAGGGCTACAGGCAGGGTTCTAGGAACTGTCACTCCAAGGACCCTGGTCACCTGGGCTGAAGGGAGTCACATGATCCAGGAAGGTCCTTCCTCAACCCCCAATTTCAGGGGTCTGAGCAGACAGGCTGACAGAGGACCCCTGTCTGCTCAGACAGTTGAAGCAGGGGGATGAGGCCCATTTGTCCATCATGCCCTCACCTGCTCTGCCCCACTCAATGAGATGAGATGGTGTGGGTGCCCCCACAGGGCTGGCAGGCCCAAGCCTCTCAGCCCTCAGACTGAGGTCCACACATGGTCTTCAGCCTGCCAGAATTGTCACTCTTAGCAAGGCACATGCTTAAATTCCTTCTTTCATTCCATCATTCATTCTCCCATCAAATCTTGGCCCCTCCAGATTCTTTTCTCCAGGTCTCATGCCCCAACCTGGCTGGGCATGAGACAGTATGGTCACCCCAGGGGGAAGAGCCCTAGGGGAGGGGCAGACACCAACCAGAATAGGGGCCTTGGGAATCCAGCCCAAGCTGGGACTGGATTTGGGGAGGATCTGCCAGGCAGAAGGAACCACCTGACCCTGAAGGCCAGGAAATGGAGATTTTCCAGGAAGTGAGGGCTTCAGCGGACCTCTTGACCACCCTAGGCTCTTCCTGAGCCCTGAGGTGTCAAGGCTGGAAAAGGAGGTGGCCGAGCTAAGACCTTCAAGGCCAGGGCAGTCTGGACTTTGAGATCCCTGGGAGGCTGGTGAATGTGTCACCAGGCCCAGTAACCATTAACCCTGGCTCACTCATTAAGACCCTAGTGGGTGTCCATTAGCTCCTTGACCAGTTCCAGGAGCCGGGCAAAGGGCAGGGGTCATGGGAAGAAGGGAGCGCTGATTGGGGCGCTAGGTGGAGGCTGGCTGAGCTGGCTCTCTGTGTCCTTGTTCCTTGAGGAGTGTTCCAGGGCCAAGCTGGACTCCAGCCAGGGACAGCTGCCAACACAGCCCGGGACGGGTGCCGCCCCACCATCCTAGTGACTTTCATCTCCTTATCACCCCTGTGTGCTGGCACCAGCAGCCCACACTGCCTCGGGGGCCTCAGCCTGACAGGAGGCGCAAGGGGCCAGTCCAGTGCCTGGCTCAGCATCCAGCCACACGGCCCCTCTGAGAAATGGGCCCACCATGGCCTCCAAAGCCCTGTCTGTTTCAACGGGCTGGGATCTGCCCCACCTCTGTATCTGAGAAAACAAG